ATTGCATTTATATTACTAATATTTAACCAAATCTTATATTTGGTTGTAAATTTGTGGATTTCGGAAGGCGGACCTGTATATGGACTCTTAATGAATCAATAGTACCAGAATTTACTTATTTATTCGATATATGGTGAATTGTACTACCATGTATGGTTTTCACTTGTATGGGGGCTAAGTGAAATCATGAACCGATTTTGCCCATTATTAACACAAAACAACATTGGTCATCAATAAGGAATTTTTGAGATTTTCACCACTCTAGCTCATAACGTTCGGAACCTATCCGGTTTTCAACAAAAAGACTGACGTACAGACATCGCTAGATGATCTTAAAATCTTATGAAAAAATATTTATTACAATCTTAATTTTCACATTTATGCATAATATATAGAGATATACACAAAAATTTATTTTTTTAGACAGAGAATTTAGACGTAACCGCCTCAACATTGTTTATATCATAAAAATTTGTCTCGGCAAAAAAGACGTAAGCGACAAAAAATCGGATACATCCTACATTTTAGATGTAATAACATTTATTAACGCAGTTTTGGAATAATGCTATGTCCTACTTAGAAGATAATTAAAAAAATGCTCTCCTGTAAAATTTAGTTTTTGTCTGTTACGTCTTTTGTGCGAAAAGGGCTCGATATAAATATAAGACCTGTTTCAGACTTTGCCTTTTGAGTCAGGGACACCAGTCATGCTTTGTTGGCAAAGGGGAGAAAGAAGAAGAAAGAGTGTTGCAAAACAAGTACGAAGCGTAATTTGAAGGGTTTTTTCGACATTTTTTTTGTCACACTTTCGTAATTGGTAGTTGTTTTATTTCTATTCTGCTCTCACAGCATAAAGATCGTGTGCGATTACTATCACACATGTTAAGCATTGCCACTTTCAAAAATTTTATTTTTTATATTTTATTTTATTCGAAAGTAATTGATTTTTTAAAATGTTAGCTTATTAAAATGAAATTATTTCTTTAATAAAAAATAATTTACTACGGCTAATGGTAAACAAAATGTAATTTAAATAATTTTAGTAATGTATTTTTGTAAGATAATAAAACTACTTAAAAAAGATAACAAAATATTTAATTTAACAAATATTTAAAAAATTAAGATATTAATTCCTTTATAAAATATTTAAATAAATACATTAAGAATTATAAATATGGCAACTCTCACACTCATTAGCAGGCATGCCTTACCCCGTGTCTATATTAGACAAATATTTATTATGCTAAACGTCAAATTGTAATCATGAAAAAAAATTAGCAGGTGCAGACATCATTTATTAGTGTTTTAGCGTCGTTACCCCGTGTCTATATTAGCCAAATATTTATCACGATACTTGACAAATCGTCGGCAGAAAAATTGTCAGTTTTTCGTTTATGTTAATGCATAGGGGTAACAAAATGCTGATTTTATCACGACAACTCACAGATAATTTTATTGAAATAATGCTAAATTTTATAAAAACAATTAAAATTTAATGAAAATTTTGTAAATAAACACTAATTTCACTAAAACTTATGTTAAAAATCAGTTTTAATTGCACAAGAACAAAATTCTAAACAAATTTTACAATAAAATGACGTTTGTTATCAAGACAACGTTGTCTAAACAATTGTTTAGACAACACTGTCATAACGACGTTATAACGCTAATAAATGCCGTCTATACCTGCTAATTTTTTATCATGATAACAATTTGACGTTTAGCATAATAAATATTTGTCTAATATAGACACGGGGTTATGACGGTGTTGTCCAAACAATTGTTTGGACAACGTTGTCTTGATAACAAACGTCATTGTATTGAAAAAATTCTATCGAATTTGTGCAATTAAAATTGATTTTTAACATAAGTTTTAGTGAAATTAATGCTCATTTCCAAATGCAAATTTTGGATTGTTTTTATAAAATATAAAATATAGCATTATTTTAGAAAATTATCTGTGAGTTGTCGTGATAAAAAGCATTTTGTTACCCCAATGCATTAAGATAAACAAAAAACTGACAATTTTTCTGCCGACGTTTTGTCAAGTGCTGTGATAAATATTTGTCTAATATAGACATGGGGTTAAAAGTCACAATGTAAACATTCAAGATTTTACGAAAGGCATTTAAAAGAAAATTGAGAAAAAGGCATACCTAAAAAGTGACTATATAAAACAGGACTAAGTCACGATTGACTGATCATGCTTGATGGATATATCCATCACAGTTAACAAATAAAATGTGATGTATTAATCGGTCATTGTTGACTAATCATACTTGATGAATATATCCGTTGTTGTTGTTGTTGTAACAGCTAAAACTATACAATAATCTAGTTGGGGGTTCTGCATCAATGTCCAGGCATAAAAATTGGGCTACTTCTACTGGATGCGTCCATAAATCCATTGGACAGAGTGAAGTTGGGTTGGCTGAGCAGTTGAATATGTGGTGGGTGTCATGAGGACCCTGACCACATGCAGGACATTCGTTGGGGACGGCACGGTCTATACGTGACCAGTAGGCATTGAGCCTGTTGATCCATCCCGATCTTAGTTGTGCCAGAACTACTCTTGTTTTCCGCGGAAGGTTTTCTTCCGTGTCTGCTATGGGTGGTGGGCAACCACCAAGTACGACATTCATGCGGTATCCTGCGACCGCGGAATTTATGGCGTCTCTATGAATGTCGTTCAAAGCTGCCGAATACGAGGACTGATCCAGTGGATCCCGCACATATCTGCATATGTTTTCCTCGTATATACGAAGATCCTTCCTGACATGTTGACTGTTTAGTCAACATGACATTGTGTTCCTTGACTGGAAGGACCTTCGTTTCCTCGTGCAGGTGATGTTCCGAGGTAATTTGTAGGCAACCCGTTACAGTCCTTAGGGCGGCATTTTGGCAGATTTGAATGTTTCTCCACTGGGTATCACTTAGCGAAGGTGACCACACTGGTGCAGCATAGTAACCACTTCCTCTCTTAATGGTGTACGTTGGAGGGAAAATTTAGATCACTGAAGATGCGTTCGGTGAATTCTCTGAAGTCGTGCCAGTCTGCTTTCTTTTGGTTTACGTATTGACGGCGTTCAGAGACGATAAAATCGTTAGGTCGATCCAGACAAACGATTATGGGTAAGTGGTCTGATCCCAGAGAAACTACGGCTCGCCATGTTGCGTAGTTGATCAAACCAGCACTCGCTATGGTGATGTCGGGCGAGCTAGCGCAGGTACCCATAATCCGCGTGGGGGCATCATCATTCAGGGTGCAGAAGGTGGACTCGTCAATCTGTTCCGCCAGCAACGCACCTCTCTGGTCTTCCCCTAACGAAGAGTGCCAGAGCTGATGGTGGGCGTTGAAGTCCCCTAGGACAAGACGCATATCGCCGTCTAACAAAGTCCTGATGTCGGGACGGTAGCCTGCTGGACAGCTGGCTACTGGCGGAATATAGACGTTATAGAGCTCTAAGTCAGTTTCTCCCGATCTAACTGCAATACCTTGAACTTCAAGATATTGGTCTCTGGAGTTAGAAGCGAGAGAGAAAGAGCAATGCCCCCACCGTTACTTCTGGTGCGGTCTTTTCGGAGAATGTTGTATCCGTTACAATCGAGGGTATTAGCGGCGACGGTAATTGTTGTTGCTGCTGCTGTTGTATTTGCTGCTGTTGTTGTGATTGCAAGGGAGAGGGCGGAGGGGTAGCGTATGAAGATGACGATGTTGTTTGTCGACGACGCAGATGAATCTCGCCGTTGTTGTAAGCAGCATGGGGCGACGAAATTTTCCGACAACTCTCGATGATCATTAAGTCCGGAGCAGTTCCTGAGATGACACCAGCCCAAACAAGAGTTGAACCTTAATTGGATGGACATATGGTGCAGTCGGTTCTGGCAAACTGTGCAGAACCATGGTCCGGGATTTAATTCATTTTCGGCACGGACCAAAAGGATGCGGAGCAGCAATGCCGGAAGATGTTGCTCCGCTGCAGAAAATTGTATTGTTGTTGCTGGGGTTGACAGCCCTTGGCCGAATAATTCGGGTCATTCCGGTACGTAGAACCGGCTGTCGGGGAATGTGAATATATCCGTCAAAACAGACGCTATGTCAACTTATAATAAAATACAATTTATTAATATTTTAAGATATATTTATTTTATTTTATTAATATAGTAAGCATATACATAAATTAACAATCATTTCACCATTTTACATACCTCGCATAATCTTAATTCCTCTGATGCTCCTTTTAATTTGGAAAAATAAGTTGTCTGTAAAGAAATACATATAAATATCGAAATATAAAATCAAAAGTAAGTATTCATGTTACAGTAGATTGAAAAAGTGACAGTACATATGTAAAATACCACCTTAACTAGTAACAACTTTGGTTATTAAACAGAGCTAATAAAAGTTTTAAAGCTTATCGTCGTTAATTTAAAAAATAAGTGAACATAGGCTTACTGTTTTCAGCAGTACGCGTACTTTTATTTCGTAATTGTACTTTTAAAGAAGTATGCAAATGTACTAACTTCTTTTTAGTATTTGTACATATTTCTGTATTTTTATACCCACCATCAAAAAAGATGGGGGGTATATTGATTTTGTCATTCCGTTTGTAACACATCGAAATATGGTCAGAGACCCACAAAAGTATATATATTCCGGGTCCTCATTAAATTCTAAGACGATCTAGCCATGTCTGTCCGTCTGTCCGTCCGTCGTCTGTCTGTCTGTCTGTCTGTCTGTTGAAAGCACGATAGAGTCCGTATATACGAAGATCCTTCCTGACATGTTGACTGTTTAGTCAACATGACATTGTGTTCCTTGACTGGAAGGACCTTCGTTTCCTCGTGCAGGTGATGTTCCGAGGTAATTTGTAGGCAGCCCGTTACAGTCCTTAGGGCGGCATTTTGGCAGATTTGAATGTTTCTCCACTGGGTATCACTTAGCGAAGGTGACCACACTGTTGCAGCATAGTTAACCACTTCCTCTCTTAATGGTGTACGTTGGAGGGAAAATTTAGATCACTGAAGATGCGTTCGGTGAATTCACTGAAGCCGTGCCAGTCTGCTTTCTTTTGGTTTACGTATTGACGGCGTTCAGAGACGATAAAATCGTTAGGTCGATCCAGACAAACGATTATGGGTAAGTGGTCTGATCCCAGAGAAACTACGGCTCGCCATGTTGCGTAGTTGATCAAACCAGCACTCGCTATGGTGATTTCGGGCGAGCTAGCGCAGGTACCCATAATCCGCGTGGGGGCATCATCATTCAGGGTGCAGAAGGTGGACTCGTCAATCTGTTCCGCCAGCAACGCACCTCTCTGGTCTTCCCCTAACGAAGAGTGCCAGAGCTGATGGTGGGCGTTTGAAGTCCCCTAGGACAAGACGCATATCGCCGTCTAACAAAGTCCTGATGTCGGGACGGTAGCCTGCTGGACAGCTGGCTACTGGCGGAATATAGACGTTATAGAGCTCTAAGTCAGTTTCTCCCGATCTAACTGCAATACCTTGAACTTCAAGATATTGGTCTCTGGAGTTAGAAGCGAGAGAAAGAGCAATGCCCCCACCGTTACTTCTGGTGCGGTCTTTTCGGAGAATGTTGTATCCGTTACAATCGAGGGTATTAGCGGCGACGGTAATTGTTGTTGCTGCTGCTGTTGTATTTGCTGCTGTTGTTGTGATTGCAAGGGAGAGGGCGGAGGGGTAGCGTATGAAGATGACGATGTTGTTGTCGACGACGCAGATGAATCTCGCCGTTGTTGTAAGCAGCATGGGGCGACGAAATTTTCCGACAACTCTCGATGATCATTAAGTCCGGAGCAGTTCCTGAAATGACACCAGCCCAAACAAGAGTTGAACCTTAATTGGATGGACATATGGTGCAGTCGGTTCTGGCAAACTGTGCAGAACCATGGTCCGGGATTTAATTCATTTCCGGCACGGACCAAAAGGATGCGGAGCAGCAATGCCGGAAGATGTTGCTCCGCTGCAGAAAATTGTATTGTTGTTGCTGGGGTTGACAGCCCTTGGCCGAATAATTCGGGTCATTCCGGTACGTAGAACCGGCTGTCGGGGAATGTGAATATATCCGTCAAAACAGACGCTATGTCAACTTATAATAAAATACAATTTATTAATATTTTAAGATATTTATTTTATTTTATTAATATAGTAAGCATATACATAAATTAACAATCATTTCACCATTTTACATACCTCGCATAATCTTAATTCCTCTGATGCTCCTTTTAATTTGGGAAAATAAGTTGTCTGTAAAGAAATACATATAAATATCGAAATATAAAAATCAAAAGTAAGTATTCATGTTACAGTAGATTGAAAAAGTGACAGTACATATGTAAAATACCACCTTAACTAGTAACAACTTTTGGTTATTAAACAGAGCTAATAAAAGTTTAAAGCTTATCGTCGTTAATTTAAAAAAATAAGTGAACATAGGCTTACTGTTTTCAGCAGTACGCATACTTTTATTTCGTAATTGTACTTTTAAAGAAGTATGTAAATGTACCAACTTCTTTTAGTATTTGTACATATTTCTGTATTTTTATACCCACCATCAAAAAAGATGGGGGGTATTGATTTTGTCATTCCGTTTGTAACACATCGAAATATTGGTCAGAGACCCACAAAAGTATATATTCTGGGTCCTCATTAAATTCTAAGACGATCTAGCCATGTCTGTCCGTCCGTCCGTCTGTCTGTCTGTCTGTTGAAAGCACGATAGAGTCCGAATGAAAAGAGCTAGAGGCTTGAAATTTCACATAAATATTTCTTATAGGTAAGGTTTGCTTGGTATTGAAAATGGGCAATATCGGTCCACGTTTTCGGATAGCCCCCATACAAGTGGCCCCTAGAAAAGCAGCTTTAACAGCCATAACTTTTTAAAAATACGAAAATAGCGATGAAATTCGACATAAGTAAGTTTCTTGTGATCCAAAATCACTGTGCAAAATTTTATGAGGATCGGTCTATAATTGACCCTACCCCCCATATAAGGTCCCCTTCAGAAAATGACTGCAACGCTCATTAATGACTTAAAATACGAGTGTAGCGATGAAATTCGACACAAATAAATTTCATACGAACCAAATTCTGTCTACCAAATTTTATGAGGATCGACCATAATTGACCC